GATCGGGAATGAGACTTGGGGGGCCACCAAGGTAAGGGAGGGGACGAGACCCCCTGTGAGCCCCCCCAGGACCCTCGGTGACCCCCCCCCCGGTGACCTCCCCACCCCCCTCGTGCAGGACGCAGAGAGGAAGATGAAGGAGCAGCAGGACGAGGAGCAACGGAAGAAGCAGGAGGAGGAGGAGAAGCAGCAGAAAGAAGAGGAAGGGGACGATGAGGGCGATGGGGACGAGGAGGACGAGGATGAGGAGGAGCCCGAGGCCGAGCCCGAGGAGGCGGAGGCGGCCCCGCGGGACGAGCTGTGAGGGTCCCGCGGCGGGACCGTTCTGTCTCTGTGAGACCTGGACTCTTTTCTATGGGCGCCGCCGCCCGCGGGCCCGGGGAAGCCGCGACCGCGCCGGGAGCGAACCGGCACGGCCGGGACCGAACCGGCACCGGGCGCCCTTCGGGGCGAGGACTCAGGACCAGCGCCGGGGGTGGGGAGGGTGCGGTGGGGGGGAAACACCGGCGGTGTCGCACGGGACTGTACGGGGGTGTCGCGATCCGGTTTCTATTAAATTAACGATCGTCCCGGCGCCGCGGCTTCCTCCTCTTTATTCCTCCTTCCCCTCCGCCCGCGCCATGTTGCGGCCGCCGCCATTTTGTGCCGCCGCGCTCGTCACGTGACCGCGGGCGGTCCCCGCTCTTTAAAACCCTCGCCTGTGTCACGTGACGGAGAGCCCGCGCGCGGTTTTTTCCGGCGTCACGTGACTCACGAAGCATTAATTAGCCCATCTCCTGTGCCACGTGACCAGGGATAGCCCCCGCGCGACCGTTCCGGTGTCACGTGACGTGAGAGGGACCGCGGGAGAGAGGCGCGCGCGCGGGCGCCGTGACGCATTTCCGGCGCCGCGGCGGAAGCGGCGGGGCCGCCTAAGATGGCGGCGGCGTGAGTTGCATGTTGTGGGGCCGCCGGGAGGAGCCGCCGCCGCCCCGTCCCCGTCCCGCCATGGCGGTGACCGTGACGCTGAAGACGCTGCAGCAGCAAACCTTCAAGATCCGCATGGAGCCGCACGAGACGGTGAGGCCGCGGCGGAGCCCCCGCGGGGGGCGCGGGCGGGGCCGGGCTGGGGATGGGCCCCGAGCTCGCTCCCCCCTCGCCCTCACCCCGCGCCTGCCTAAGGGAGGGGTCCGGACCCTCCCGGCACTCGCCAGGGCCAGGATGGAGCTGGGTGAGGGGGGGGGGCGGGGTCGCCGTGTCCCCCGTACCCCCCTTTTGGCGGGGGCACAACCGGGGGGCGTCACCGTGTGCCCCTCGTCTCATTTTGGGGGGAGTGAAGCCATAGATGCCGGCCGAGGGGGGCAGCTCCGTGTGCTGCCGCCCTCCCCGTTTTCGGGGGGTTCTCTCCTCTTTTTGGGGGTCCCCCATGTGAGGGAGAAGCGAGTGGCCTCGCTCGGGGGGCTCCGTATCCCCCCACTCCCAATTTTGTGAGGGGGATCTGGCGGGGAAACTCCGCGTCTTTCCATCCCTGGTTTTGAGGGGAGAAACTCGAGGGGCGTCACTGTCTGGATTTTTTAGGGGGGACACCCTGAGATCCCCCCGCCTTTAGGGGCAGCTCAAGAGCGATCGTTTGGGGAGACGATTTAAGAAAATTCCTCAGGAATATTTGGGATTTATCCCTGCCCCTCAAATCCAGTTTTGGGGGGGGACGACTGTTTTTGGGGTGCCCTGAGCCCATCCTGGCCGCAGGTGCGGGCGCTGAAGGAGAAGATTGAGGCTGAGAAGGGCAGCGATGCCTTTCCCGTGGCGGGACAGAAACTCATTTACGCCGGGAAGATCCTGAGCGACGATGTCCCGATCCGGGAGTACCGGATCGACGAGAAAAACTTCGTGGTGGTCATGGTGACCAAGGTGAAACCTCCCCCTCCCCGGGGGAGGGTCTCCAGAGGGTCTGAGAGGAACCCTGGGGGGGGGGAGGGAGAGTTTTGGGGGTCCCCTTGGAGGGTCTGGAGAGTCTCAGGGGGCTTGGAGCCATTTGGGTGAAGCCTGAGGGGTTTCTGGGAGGGATTTGGGGGTCCCTGTGAAGGGTTTGGAGGGTCTGAGGGGTCTTAGGATCATTTGGGTGAAGCCTGAGGGGTCTCTGGGTGGGTTTTGGGGGTGCCCTGGGAGAGTCTGAGGGGTCTTGGGGTCATTTGGGCAAACCCTGAGGGGTCCCTGTGGAGGGTTTGGAGGGTCTGAGGGGTCTCGGGGTCATTCCGGGGATCCCTTGGGAGGGATTTTGGGGTCTCCAGGTAGGCTTGAAGGTTCCCAAGTCCCTTGGGGGCCATTTTTGGGGGGGGGGGAGGTCCCAGGACATCCCCAACCCCCTCCTCCTCCTCCTCAGGCCAAGTCAGCGCTGGGCTCGGCAGCCCCCGAGGCCGGAGCCCCCTCGGAGCCCCCCGCAGCCCCCCCAGGGCCCCCCCCGGCCGCCGACGCTGCCCCCCCCCCTCCGGCCGCCCCCAGCGAGGAGCCCCCGGCCCAGGACCCCCCTGCTCTCACCCTGGCCGAGCCTGCTGCTGGGTAAAGGGGGCCGGGAGTGATTTTGGGGGGGTGATTTAATCAGATTGTGGGGCTTGGGGGGGCCGGGAGTGATTTTGGGGGGGTGATTTAATCAGATTGTGGGGCTGGGGGGGGGTCAGGAGGGTGTTTATGGGGGGCTACAGTATTGGGGAGGGGGAATTGAGAGGTGGGAGGGGTCGTTTAATCAGATTTTGTGGGGTTTTAGGGGGGGAATCGTGGGGTCTGGGGTGGATTTAAGGGACAGGAGAAAACTTTGTGGGGGTCGTTGGTTGAGATTTGGTGTGAGAGCACCAGGAGAGTTTGGGGGAGGCTGTTCTGGGAGATTCACAGGGATTTTTGGGGGGTCACAGGAGGTTTTTGGGGGG